AAAATAAGCAGAAAATAGTACAAACTTAGCTAAAGTGATTATTTTGAACAAGTATTAACTTTAAAAAAATTAAAAATTTAATTTAATTTTAATTTTAAATTAAAAAAATAATAATTTGCTGAAGTATTTGTATCAATACCGTGTGCTTTTTACCCCATGCTGGTGGGCCTTTTACCCCGTGTGTGGGGTAAAAGGCCCCTCTTGCCACCTCATACATTTATAAGATTTTTAAACAAAATAAACAACTTGAATTATTTATTTTCACACAAAATCTGTTGCTCCATTAATGTTCAATACAATGTATATATTTTTTTCTGCAATTATACATTTTAGGCGCAGTGAAAAGCATGCACATTTTTTCTTAAGTTGGGCCTTTAGCCCCGTTGTACCCTATAACCTAAAAATAATTGTCTCTAAAAGGATTATTCACCCCAAAATCCAAACTCATACCACTCTACATCTGTATGACTTACTTTCTTATTTGAACAACAGTCAAAATTTCTCAAAATATCTGCTTTTGTATATATTCATATAGGTTTGGAACATCATGGACATAAATAAATAATACAAAATTATGGTCTAATGACATTATTATTATTATTATTATTATTATTATTATTATTTTGTGGCTGGTACTAATATCTAGGACCAGGGTAACCAATGACCAATACTTATGAAAATACAATAAATACAATAAATCAATCCTAATTTTTTTAAGGCCATTAGAGTAAAGGTCATTCACAAAGTTTGGATTTACAGAATATCTGATACACATATAATTTCAGAGAAACCTCTACCCTCTATCTATGTAAACAGTTCAGGCCAAATGAAGCCCTTCTTGGCTCGTGTTGTCTTGACTCTGAGCATCTCTGGCTGTTGTTATGGGGGCTGCTTCTATAGACAGCAGTACAATACCACTGTATGCTGTACCACAGCACAGCATTTACAATAGCTGCATTGTCTACTGCGCCAGGTAGTGACTCATATATGACCTAATGCTACGAGTGAAAATCCGGGGTTGTAAACTATAGAAAAGTGGTTATTGTTGTCTTGACTGCTGGAGTATGAGGGATTAAGGAACCTAAGGGGAGTCTGGTTGGCACCAAGGCTTATTTTTATATATATGGGACAAGTGTTACATTCAGGTAGCTCTTTCACAGTATCTACAAATGTAAAGAAAGTTGAAGATACAGCATTGTTTGCAACAAATACACAGTATAAATAATGCAATGACTGGTACGCTCAAATTTTCTGCTTATTCTCAATTAACCACTGTGTTGTTTTGATTACACTAAAATGGCCAGTAATGCAGGTAATAATAAAATAACCTGCACTGCCTACATTGCATACATGAAAACAAATGAAAACACGTCTAAAGATCAGTAATGTTACTCTCACTTCGACTTTTATTTGACATTTGCGTCATGTCGTCCGCGCATGCGTGTGTCACCCGGCAGTGAAACTCGCTTTTTCACACAGGCGAACAACAGCAAAACAGACACCGAGCGTCCCGATAACAGAGATCAGAAATGGGCAAAGGCGGCGGAACGTTTGACAGACTGTTGGGTATGTGTTATATTTCATGTTTTTAGTGTTTATTTCGACTGACAGACCGATGTGTCGCTAACACATAGATGAAGTGTGCTAATGCTAACGTTAGCACAGTTTGAACAATCACGGTAACGTTAGAATTTAACGTCTATTGTCTTTATTTTTCCCACCGGAGCTTCAACACACCAGTGACATGAACTTAAACCTGACATTGCGAACATCTTTTTCAGTTAAACCGTATGGTGTTGTATGTGTAGTTGACAAATCGGTTATTTTACATAGGCTAGTTAGCAGCACACCTGAGCTAAAGCTATTTTCGGGCCTCTTTTTCACAAGCTACAAATAGCATTAGCAGCATTATTTTGTATACTATGTTTTGTGTGTCTGTTAGTCGTTAACAAGTACGTTGTGTTTGTCTTTGCCAAATCTCGCTGTTAAGCAGGCAATTATACCGCACATTTAATGAGACACAGGCTGTATAAACACTGTCTTGGCACTTCACATGAATATTTATGGTTCCAGTTGCTCACACCTTTAAGAAAAATGTAATTTGAAGATTGTGAAAGTATTCCCATTAGTCACGGGTGGTTCTTCCTGTTTGCTCATGTAATCGAGTGCTGCTGTATACAGAGAGAGGATGGTTTGGCCTATTTGTATTAAGGTTTACCACATAACAGTAACTTCCTGTTAAACACACCAGCTCCATTTCCAAGACTTCACAAAGTGGATTATATACATATGGGTTGAAATTTATATTCTTGATTTATTGTGTGGTTTACTGGACAATATGTAAAATATTCATTATTTATTAATTACTATAGTTTGTTCAATTATGTAAAATTGAGAATATTGTGATAATTTTAACGTGAGTTATTGGACTTCAGAATTGATTAATAATACGATTTTTCCACATTTTGTAAATTTTTTATGGATATTGTGTAATGTGTATTGTAATATAGGTTGGTGCATGTTGTTTATTTATTGCTCTGTATTATATTGGTCCCTGTAAATGACGATAATTAAATATGATTCTTCCTCGTGTTCATTTAGTGGAAAACATGTCCTGATTATTTGATTGATTGATTGATTTTTTTTTTTACACCATGTTACTTTTTGAAGTAAAACATAAATATTAAGATATGAATTGTCAAATGTGCAATGTATTTAGTTTTATTTAGGCCTACTTAATTTTTTATCTATTTCACCCAGTCCATCAAACCTAAATCAAACATTACTAAATGCTTAAATTATATGGGATTCTGATAATGAGATCATTAGTCTTCTCCACTAGATGTCACCCTTATTTACCTTGCGCGTTGTTACAACAGAAAGCCTGTCATTCATTCAGCACTTATCATGGCCATACGCGTGATTCGCAAAGCTCAGGTGAAATGCTATAGTAATACTATAAATCTGCGGAAGCATTTGATATCACACATAATGCGCCATGATTTCCGCAATGAATGAATGAATGGATGTATCATATTGGTACCAGTGAAAAGATTTTACTATACTGTCAAACCTGAACATGTTTTTTTTCCACTTCATTTTCGAATGTTTTCAGGAAAAATACCTTTAGCAAACTGTTTCTGATAACACTTGATGATAAAAAATGTGCTCTTCCAATCCTTCACAGAAAAGGCTACCAGTCAGCTGCTGCTGGAGACAGACTGGGAGTCCATTCTGCAGATATGTGACCTCATTCGGCAAGGCGATACGCAGTAAGATAAAACATTTTCTAATTTGACTGCATGTCAGTGCATGTCAGTCATGTGTTGTGATAAAAATGGCCTTGACTTCCTTATATACTGTTTTGTTATTTCCCGCCACCAGGGCAAAATATGCAATTGGTGCCGTCAAGAAAAAACTCAATGACAAAAATCCACATGTCGCGCTCTATGCTCTTGAGGTAAGTGTAGTTCATCTACATATATAGAGCACTGTAGACCAGGTGTTTTCAAGCAACAACAACAAAAAGTAAAAAATAAATAGTAAAGATTAAGATTATTTTATTATTAAAATAATAATGACATAAATAATAAAAATGATAAAAAATAAACAAAATAGATTAAAATGAATAAATAATGCAAAATATATTTAAATAAATAATAAAATATAATAATGATTAATTAAATAGTACTGTAAATAACAGTACATATACTATGTATGAGTAAAAAACAAAGTAAACTGCACTTTTGTTTGTCTGTGACTTGTTCTTTAAAGTCGTGGGGATTATGACTGGCTGTCATTGTTTGTATCATTTATCAGCTGGAAAAGTTTGTTCTTAAAGTGATTCCAGTGGTATCGTTCCTCTGTGTTGTTATTGTTATAGTTGTGGTGTGGACTTCCCTATTCTTATATAATCATTATAGTTTTCGTCCTTGGTAGGGCTGTGTGATATGATGATATACAGGTGCATCTCAATAAATTAGAATGTCGTGGAAAAGTTCATTTATTTCAGTAATTCAACTCAAATTGTGAAACTCGTGTATTAAATAAATTCAATGCACACAGACTGAAGTAGTTTAAGTCTTTGGTTCTTTTAATTGTGATGATTTTGGCTCACATTTAACAAAAACCCACCAACTCACTATCTCAACAAATTAGAATACTCCATAAGACCAATAAAAAAAAACATTTTTAATGAATTGTTGGCCTTCTGGAAATAATTTATTGAGATGCACCTGTATATCGGATAGACGAAATAAAACATCTATAGTTTCATATTATGCTCTATTGTTTATTTCGTGGTGTCGCAAAATACATTGTTTACAGTAATACGTTTTCATAATTTGGATGACTGCGATCTTTACACGCCACCACGGGGCGTGAAGGGGAGACCGAGAACCAGTGGAGAACCACCAGCCAGGACAAAACGAGGAGCTCGTTCCTAAACGAGGGACTACATCTGTAGCATGGACACGCGTTTTTAAGCACTGCAGTTTTAAAAACAACCAATTTTAAGCCGATGAAACACAAACAACAGAGCAATATATGTGCTCTGTTTCTGTGTGAGAGGAGCGCACATTTTTTTGCCGCCTTATTGGCTTTGAACGATTACATAAACACTTACAGTGGGTACGGAAAGTATTCAGACCCCCTTAAATTTTTCACTCTTTGTTATATTGCAGCCATTTGCTAAAATCATTTAAGTTAATTTTTTTTCCTCATTAATGTACACACAGCACCCCATATTGGAGAGGAGCGCAAATTTTTTTGCAGCTTTATTAGCTTTGAACGATTACTTAAACACACTTATATGCGTTATAATCCGCGTCTTTGCAAGTATCCTCATAAACACAGTGATTTAGGTCTTAAGAGAGAGTAAACGGCTGAAAAAGAAAACGCATATGTAACAATATATTGGATCCGGACTACGGTCTTAAAGGGGAAGCTGTCCAATATTTGTCCTGTCTGCCATTCATATTAATCAAACAACCAATTTTAAGCCGATGAAACACAAACAACAGAGCAATATATGTGCTCTGTTTCTGTGTGAGAGGAGCGCACATTTTTTTGCAGCTTTATTAGCTTTGAACGATTACTTAAACACACTTATATGCGTTATAATCCCCGTCTTTGCAAGTATCCTCATAAACACAGTGATTTAGGTCTTAAGAGAGAGTAAACGGCTGAAACAGAAAACGCATATGTAACAATATATTGGATCCGGACTACGGTCTTAACGGGGAAGCTGTCCAATATTTGTCCTGTCTGCCATTCATATTAATCAAACAACAGTGAGAGAAAATCTCTCACTGCTCTTGATTAAATCACTTTTGTAACTTTAATAAGAAGAAATTAAAAAATTATAATAATTATATATTTATATATATGTATAGAATCTATACATAATACACATGTTAATTATATCTATCTATCTATATATAGATAGTAGGGTTGGGGTACCTATGTAACCGGTATGTACTAGAACTGTACTAGAACTCGGTGCCACTTAAATGCCTGAGCGATTGATTGAAATATTTGTCCTGGTTCTCCGAAATGGACGTAAGAAGCATGGGTGTCGCTAGGCAATTTTTAGCGGGTCTATAGCGATTAGCTCCATAAACTGTACACAAATTCGTGATCACCTCAGAGTCAGTCCCCTTTAAATTTCATATGAAAACGGCGGCAGACTTCGTCTCCTCCCCGTCTTTTA